TAATGTGATGACTGAGTACAGCAAATGATCTTTTTCAGAATCTATATTTTTAGGTAAATTACTGTACACGGCCGCCCGTATTTTAATGGTAATTTTCTCATTATGCGTCGAATAGTGGAATAAAACACACATAAAGTAACATTTTAACTTAATTTTGCCAGTGAAATATTTGCACCAAATATACCGAAATAACGTAGCGCAAAATGACTGATCCGAAAATATTTCGACATTTTAACGTTTCACGAGCGAAAACATTGATCAGGAATGCGGTCGAAATATTTTGTTTACACAAATATCCCGTAGGAATGCGTCGCGCTCCCCGATTCGTATTGAAGCCGACCAGGTAAAGGCGAAATTCCATGACTCAGTTTCTCTTCACCGCTCAGACTTAACTGGTTTTAGATCGACAACGGTTTTACAACACCAAGTTGAAATGGAAATCGATAATCGAACGGAACCCGTAGGCGATCAAAGTGAGAAAGAATTTAGGGAGAACCTGGTTCAAGAGATTTTAAACAAGAGCATTACTTGCCACGACAATCAAAGGTATGCCAAGTAATTTCTATACTTATATGCAAAGTAATTTCGTATTAGTTGATTAGCTATGATTTCTAATGTTGGCACTACCTACCTATATTATGTAGCACTGTTGCAAAGAGTACGGCTTGAGCTATACAAAAATTAGCAAGTATGTGTTAAAAGAACGTTTCGTAAACAGGTTGAAAAACGTTAGCAAGATCCTATGAAATAATTTCTTTTCGAACTCGGGCGGCCAGTCTAGTTTGTTGTCTAAACACTGCTATTTGAGTGTTCCTTGTTGTATTTTTGGAGCAATCTTATTGCTTGGGGCAAGAAATAATAAACGAGCATTGGAAGTTAATTATTCAATAGTAACGCATGACTTATCAAAGGTTTTACCAATCATGCCACACTGTATATTTTGTAATAAATAACGTAAACATTATCACACATTAAACGGTTCAGGTAGTTAAGTATCGAACTACGATTAAAAGAGAAATGTTTGGAATAGACCCAGAAAAGCTAATTTGCAAATAGATTATCAGGCTATACAGGGTGATTCAAAATTGACGTCAATCAAATTAAAAAATTCGTCAAAAAACTATATTAGAAAAACGGCAACATTGTTTTCAAGGTAATCTGCCTAATTACCATTACGTAAATACCTGTCGCTTTGTAATTATTTAAAAATCCGGTAACCATGGAATTATACAGAAAGTGACAGTAAGATAGACAAGGATAAACGGTAAATTCAACAGGAATCTCGGATCCTATTTCGAAACACATAACATCAAATTATCAATTTGTTTACAAATTACAAAAACATACATTTGGGTGTAACTCCAGACAAGTGCCTGTGTAATCACCTTATTATGCACTCTTCTCGAGCAGCTTCTCGTATTCGGTTAATCAACTCCTGCTCAGTCTATACGGGTGTTCAGTAATCCATTGGTTTAATGTGATCTTGCATACGTGGTAGGAATGCAGACGGTATTTATTTGGTGCCTGGGAAAGTGTCAGTTGTTGTGCAATGTTCAGGGTGCCCCTGGTGGAAAGACTTTTCTGCAATTATGTCCAATACTTGTTTCTCTGTGTCTGGAACCCGAACATCAATTGTCGTTCACTACCTTTCTGGAACCACTTTCCTCGTCCTTTGTTGGCGCATCAAAATGGATTTTTTCCCTTCATATACCCTTTGATTCCTTTATGATTACATTTTCTCAATTTAGTTAATTTTTTTTAGCCTTGGATTAGTTCAGTTAGAATTTTTTTGAACATGCGCGCGATGTTAACTTTTCCTGGTTTTAGCGTCTATTTTAAACAGATAGAACGTCTTCCAATCACCAAAAATAATTGATTTTTTAGTCCTATTCAGATACAAGTTGTAGCAGACGTTCATGAACAACATACACAAGAGCAGTCACAAAAACATGCTACAATGCGAA